TAGGTGACTGAGCAGAAAAACTGTGGGTTTTTCTTTGAACCCACAGCAGAGACAGGAAACCCCACCTGTGTGCGTTAGGTGCCCCAAAAGGTTACAATGCTAGCAGAATTAAGCATCTCAGGTGCAGGCCAGAAGGAAACAGCAATCACTTGCCCCAAACAGAAAATGAAGCATCACTGACAGCTCACATCTGCACCAGGCTTCACAGTGTCCTCAGATTTCTTTTCCCTACATACTTCAGCTATTTAAGTGGATGTATGTTTTCTTACCTTTAAGACAAATAATAGTAATGCCTACCGCGTATTGGACATTCACGTGTCAGAGACTGTCCTGGATGGCTCATATATGTTCTTTTTAATCCTTACAACACAACCAGGTGCTGCAGTTCCAGTCTTATGAATTAACAGATCAACAGAGTAACTTGCCTATAGGTAGGGCCAAGATGCAAAGCCAAGTCTAGCTGAGCCTCCCTTCATCCGTCCTCTTAAACATGAAGGCTCCAGGCAACAAGTTGTCTATAGAGCCACAATGAGTTCAAGGCAGGTTCTGTCTAAGACCAGCTCACCATGGCCTGTGGGAACCACCTACCTTCTGGATAACCTTTCGCAGAACAAAATACTTCTCGGTAAGGTCCCCAGCCTCGCTCAGGGGGGCATCATAGTCGTAGCTGGTGGGCTGTGCTGCATAGGGTGTGTTGGCCCCTAGAAGACAAAAACACGCGCTAGTTACTACTGACGGCCCTGTCCTGGGACAGGTTCTTTGGGATCCATGGGCTCAGCATTGTGGAGAGAGAAAAATAAAGGACACAGTAAAACTAATTTTTGAGAGGCATAGCTGTGGCCCTCAGGATGCAAGGTTTAGAGGAACAAGTCTCTTCCTACAGGTAGCATTTGCCAAGCACCTCAGAGTTTTCAAAGCACTTTTCCCACCCACTGTCCCTGTGGATGCTCAGACATCACCCCACTGGACAAGCAGGGAATCTGAAGCTCCCCACAGAAATCTGCTAACATCTCACAACCTGTAATGGCATGGCTTATGGCATGACCCACAACTCTGACTTAACTCCGCGATCCCTGGTCTTTCTCGTGTCCTGAAACTGTGCAGCGGAGATAAGCTCAGTGGTGAAGACACAGGTGACTGGGCCACCACTCAGCAGAAAACTGAGGGGTAATAGGAACAAACAAAGCAGGAGAAGACTGCGTACTGAGATTCAAACATGGCCCTGAGGCCCCTCTAATACCTACAGAGTGCAGAGGGGCTGCGGTGTGCCTCTTGGGACCCCCTTCAGGACAAAGGCACACATCCAGTAGCCCCCTGTGAGGGTTGTTGGCTGCTGACATCTCTCAGATGTGGACCTCTGCTGAGCTGCCTCACCCAAAGTTACAACCCTCCAGGGATAGCCTGCATCCAACAACTGAGCGACGTGCCTCAAAGGGCCATCCCAGCTGCAGAGCTCCCTCCAGGGTAGGCTGTAGCCACTCGTGAAACTGCATCACAGCCCAACTTCTCCCTCCGCCTCCCACACACTTAAAGGTGCTGCTCTGGAGAGCACACCCAATAAACATCCTGCCTGGTAATCTCGGAGTCTGTTTCCCTGGGAACTTTACCTACAACAAAGACCAATGAATAGCGCCAGTACTGAAAAATCAGAAGGATTAGAAAAGCAAACACCCCTGCAATTATTGTCCAAGGGGCAGAGTTTGGACCAGAGGCTCCCAACCTTGTTGCAGAGGATGCTCACAGGCATGAGGTGAGGTTGTCTGCAATACTGGGCCATACTTTGAAAACTTAACCCTGCATAAGAGTCATATAGAAAACTTATTAAAACAAACTCCTAAGCCCCAGCCTGGAGATTCTGATTCAGCAGGTCTGGGGTGGGGCCTGAAGACTCTGCACTTCTAACAGGGCCCCAGGTGGTGCTGATGCTGCCATCTGGGGACCAGCAAGGTTTGTGCCTTTCTCTTCTACTTCAGAGAGCATTGTGCAATGCAAGTGCGTGAGAATGAAATTATTTTAGAATAATCTTTTGTCCAACCTAATTTGTAAGTCAATGAGGCACAAAATATGACGGTTCACCTACGACTAGTAATAAAGTCCTTAGACACAGCTCACAAATGATGGAGCCACCTTGGGTGACCCTGTTGGTGGTGGAGTTGACACATGAGAGAGGCTGAGGATCAGGTCAGCCCTCAAAGACTTATTCATTAGTTCTCCGCACAGAATTTACATTTCAAAAGACTTGGACTGCTCAAACAACTGAATTGATGTGGTCATATTACTTTCCCCCGTTTCTTATTAATCAGAGACACCTGACAGTCAACAGGTCCACCTGCCTTAGGGGATGCATAGGTTAAAACACATCCTTTCCTCTGAGACACAAAGAAAAATAAAACCACATCCCTTGCTGCAAGGCACACACCTTCTTTGTGGTCCTTCTGCTACCTCTAATGTGGTAGTGACTGTGCTGCCCTGTGTTTCTCGCTCCCCACTAAACTGAGTGCACCTCAGGAGCAGAGGCTGTGCCTCACTCGCCCTTGAGTCCCCAGCCAGAGCCAGGCATGGAGAAGGAGCTCAACAAGCAGTGGCCAAGTTGAGATGTACGAGTGTGACTTCCAGAAACAAACTCTACAGGCTGAGGAAGCCCGGGCTGGGAAGCCGGCCAGTGGGTTAAAGGGTGGACTGGGAGACAAGGTCTCTGTTCTAGTTCTGCCAGTGGACTCTTGCTCTGCATGTTCTCAGACCACCACAGGGCAGCACCACAGAGAAACGGTGCACACGCAAGCCTGCTCCGGCCACCTGAGAAGGTGTGAGGTAGAAAGGCCAAAGCAACGGTGAGACTTCTCATTTCTCAACTCTCCACGTTGTGAGAGAAGCACAGGAGAGCCTGGCTCCTGCGGGCAGCCACACAGGCATGACGTAAGGAGGCACCCCCTGCCCAAGCACGTGCACCTTCCCTCGGGTAGGATGGGCAGCGAGCTCCCCCCAGGAGCTTTCCTCTCGCTGCTCTCCTCTGGGAAGCCGGCCTGAGGAACAGCTGCTAAGAAG